AGAAGAGTTGTTTTACCTGCGCCTGCGCATCCCACAATCATACCTCGTGCACGGAACATTTCTACTCTTCCATGGCGGGAACTCTCTACAAATCTTTCTCTGGCACTCAAATCCCATTTCAAAATTTCCTCTGGTATGTTTACTGGATAAAGATTAAAAATTGTAATTCTTTATATTGTGTAGTGAAAGGTACTAACGATGTTTCATTTTCTCTCTGAAATTGGATAGAATGAGTGGTGTTCTACATTTCAAAAATGAACACAATTGGACTCATCAGACAAATCGGACACATAATGTGTTATTTATTACCTGGACATGGAATTGTAAATGTGCATGTATATAAAAAAGTTTATATACGATTCTGACAGTTTTATCTATATAAATAAACATTAGATCAAATGGGGAGGTGTAATGATTATCTCATACGTGTGGGTGATATAGGCCGTTGGATAAACTTATGCTTTATCCACGGGTAGATGCTTTAGCAATAACACTTCCGGTTTGGACACGATCCCTCGCTTCAAGATTTCATTTTATTGAAACTTTTATTTATGAAAATTATTGTCCTTATAAATTGAATAAATTGAAAAATAAAGGGCAATAATATCGTTAAAAGCAACAAAAAAGACTCGTTTATGTCAAAGAAGTGTCTTATTCTATCAAGGATCCTGTATTGGCTACTTGAAGACAGATGTTACCCCCCCTCCCTTTCTAAATCGTTTTCGGAGAAAGTAAAGCCTAGCAGTTAAGTTGTTTTTATAAGAATCCTTAAACATCTTCAATTATAACGCTTTCTTATCTTAAACTAAATATGACTGCCTAGTACATGTAATGTAGGTGTAACTTACCTTGGATCAACAATGAATCTACAATTAGGCCTAGCCTTGCCTAGCACGTTTTGTACTGCCATCGTACAAAGAGTTAATTTTCACGATCCCATGGTCCTTACAACTTTAAGTCAGAAGTTCGTAAAGATTCAGCAATTGTCACAAAATGTTTTCAAAAACTCAAAAGCAAAAAAATTTTCTTTTGAACATGATCTTCATTCTTTCGAGGCATGTCAACATCAACGGTGCTACATAATCAAATTATACGTCATCAATTGGAATTGGGAATCATTCATGTAGTTTTGCATGGGAAGTCTCAAAGTTTTGTTAAAATGAAAGTGTGAAATAAATAGAGGATAGAACTCTTTAGTATGCAGTGTATAGATGATTCTCATACAAGTTAAATAAAATCAGGATTTTATTTACACAAGTTCAAAATATAACGTAATTTTTTTATACCCACAAAATATTGCCTAAAAGGTTTACCACTGCTCATGCACATATTGATTGATTTAGGCAGGCAAGCTTGTTAAAAGCTTTTACTTCTGTTATTTTAAGACAGTGTTCGAAATATTTCACATAAAAACGCGATTAAATCATGTGTATGATATGTCAGGTTTATCAGTCAAAAACTCTATCGGTGCATTTAAAAAACAGGAAAACCTTCAATTCGTAGCTTTTAAACTCACCATAGCCACTGAGCCAATTTCATCCTATCTTGCTACAAAGTATCTTTGGGCAATGGGGATTCAAATTTGTTGAAATGAAGGGCCAAGTCCTTTTCCAAGGGGAGATAATTATGAACTACAGAAAAATTAATGATTTTTTTTAAATCATCGTCTATCTAAAGAACCACTGGGGCAGCAAAGATGAAATTTTCTCTTTTGTAGAAACAAATATCTTCCATATCTCCCCTAAAATGTAATCGACTAAAGATATAAAATAATTTTTAAAGAATTATATGGAGATAACGAACAGTATTCAATCTCAATCTAAATATTAAAATGACTTCCTTCGAAAAATGACCACAATTCCAACAGATTGATACAAATTTGATATAAAAGTCAATTGATGTTAATGTATCGAGCTAAACGATTAATTCTTTTGCATTTCTCTGACGAACACGGGAAGAACATGCAATTACAAGATGTATGTGTAATACACTGATGTCCCTTATAGCAGCCTGTGAGTAATGTTGATTCTCATATGCAAGTAAAAATTATTGATCGAGGTAAAAAGTTCAAAGTTCTTGTCCACGGAAAGGTCTAATTAAAAGGAAGACACGTGTGAATGAAAACCCTCGTGCTAATTGTATAAAAGTAATGGCCAAGGTTATAGGATCAAACCCCAAGGTTCATAAGTAAAGAGGTCAACTTTGATGGTAACCAATGAATGGTCTTTAATTGTTACAAGGAATACACGTGTAAAACAAGAAAATCTTCGATTACGGGGCATAAATAAGTGTCCTCACTCTTATTATTATACAGTTAAAGTTTATCATTGAGGGAATATAGTTCTGGTCTTTGGGAATTAGAATCTTGCTAACTCCCTAAATGATATACTTTAACTGTTTTATTATACCGACACAAATTCAAATTGTCATTACTGAATAAAATCACAATTTGTATTTAATGAATAACCAGAGGATTTCGGACAGCTGCGAATTAGCAATACTACCTTTCGACGGAGGGATTAGCTAAATAAAAAATAACTAACGCACGGGGATTAACCGATGCACAGCGATTTCTAGGAAATTATTCAGATCTAATCACTTTATTTTATACAGGGGAAAATCAGAAGAAGTATAATAAATATATGTAAATATCTTATTAAGGTCTTCCGTTTCCAACGGAAGACCTTCTACTGATTCTGTTGGTAAAGATTATTATTCTTTTTTTTTCTACTGCTTCCTAGACCGCAACTTTGAGGCCTCATATCTCGCTCATTTCTCAACGGATTTCGCTCAGACGTTAGTAAACTCTATCAGAATAATGTCTTAAATTTCAAAAAGCCACTTCCGGTTTTGAGTTATTTCCCTTTAAAGGAAAATTTACAGGCTTTCGTTTCCAGACAAAGGCTCAGAGACGGCTAAAGCTGGAGCAGAAATTCTACTGATTTTAGATAATAGAAGGATTGAAGTTGTGCACATCCGTTTTTGTTTTTCGATTTCTGTATTCAAAATGGCGCTATATAGGGGTCAAAAATTAGAACGCTTAAAAGAACCAAAAATTACTCATATTTTTCTTTTTATCTTCTAAACTAAAAATATTTTGTTAAAATATATGAAACATAATATGTGCAGAATTAGAAGATCTTTCAAATGATATGTCGAAAAAAGGGCTGACCCCTAAATTAAGGGACCTAGAGGGGCCTAAAGTTTTTTCTAGATATTTCAAAAAGTATTGAGAATTTGTTATGCATCAAAGAAGCAAAGTTGTTCAAAATATCAAGCTTTATCTAATGGGGTCGTCAAAATACGTCCGGCGACGTCACTTCCGGTCGAACCGGAAGTAGTCGGAAATGCATATTTTTGCCGATTTTGACAGGTTTTTGGGTAACATGTCTCACTAGAAGCTTAAATATTAAATTTCCGACCGTCGTCGTCACTTCCGGTCAAACCGGAAGTACCAAAGAATGGCTTAATTTTGCTATACTTAACATAGATTTGGAGGATTAACCCATTTTTGGACTTCATTACTCTTTTTTTTTAAATGAAAGTTACTTCCGGTCAAACAGGACGGAAGACCTACTAGTTGCTTTGCAACGAGCTCGGCTCTAGTTTAGTTAATATTTTTAAACAAAATAATCAATAAAACACAAATGAGTAAAGGAGTCTATAAATATATAATCCACGATTATTTCCAAGGTATATTCCACTACATTTTAGCAAATATTTCATAACTATGCTACACAAATACTTACAACATATACTGATTCTCTTATGAATACTCCTGTCAGACACGGTACAGTGTGTGATGATATCCAGCTTTAGTTTGTCTATGAAAAGGTCGTACATCTTCACCGGATAGCGTGGTACATACAGACATCTCTCTCCCTCACTCCTCTTATAATCCCAGGACCGGCAGTATTCTGAGATCACGTCACGTGACGCCGTGATCAGGAAAAACTCCAGATCACTGTCCTCCATCAGACACTCCGTAACAAAAGCGTACATGACGTCATGTCGGATGTCGTCTGATACAAACGTTATCACACAGTTATGTGTTTCTGTGATTCCATCAGGAAGATCTACCAAGTCTTCTTCAGTAATATCAGGGAAATATCTCTGTCTGATTTTGTCCCTCATGGTTCTGTGAGATTGTTCATTGAGATTCAGCTGATATTTCTCAGTTAACAGTAAGCAGTACAGTAGACATCTTACTTCTGGTGAATAGTTATGGCATGTATCTAATGAAGAAAGCAAAGAATTAATATAATTAAAACGGATTTATTAATGTTCAGGTAAAAACCAATTTAAAACTAGTCAATGACATTTTATTTCATTACATAACATTTAACAATTCTCTCGCGACGTTTAAATTTTTTGTTTTATCCGTAGAGTAGATATAAAATCTAAAGTAAATATAAACACATACATAGATTCTTTCGTATCCTGCCTTGAATGCAATTTTAAATTCATTTAATAGGGGTTTTGTGTCCTACTCGATTTGTGATGATCGTGTTCGGTGTTAATTTGATAACGGGTTTTATCATTTGGGGTATGATGGAAGCCGAGGTTTATCCGGATGTCTTAAGCACTTGTCTTTTTTCGCCATATTAAATCTCACATGGATAGATATTTATACTCGATATTCGGCATATTCTATTAATAATGTTAATATTTTTGTATAAATAGGTATTACATATTAATGATATGAAAACATTACATGAATAACGAGCTTTTGGTTTCTACTACCTGCCGATCAGCTTTATTTTTCTAATTTTTAATGGGATGCTAAAAAGAGGACATAATTTTTTTTAATTGTTTGGAATTATCTGCCATTTGAAGGATGCGTGACCCTTTGTTTGAACAAAATTGAACCCTATTTAGCCATGGTTATAATGGGTTAAATTGATGGATCCAGTAGTTCTGGGGAGAAAGATACATTCATTAAAAAAGTTTATGACAACGGAAACAGACAACAGACAAGTTCTGGACCGGGGCCACAAAACTTCGACGAGCTCACTTTTGAAATTCCTTTAGAAAAAGTGAGACTGCCCCTGCGAACTGATCAAGAATAATTCTTGAACTTTTAAGAAAAGTTCATGAATTATATTCTTGAATCAGCTCATGAATTGTTCATGAAGATCCCATGAAGTTAAAATTGGACACTCATGATTTCATGGATTTTATTCATGAAAACCAAGTTCAAGAATATTCAAGAATTATTTGTTGTTCATGAACAAACTTGGATTTTTTAATTGCCTGCAAAATGATCAAGAATAATTCTTGAACTTTCAAGAAAACTTCATGAATTATGTTCTTGAACTTTCAAGAAAAGTTCATGAATGATATTAATCGGTTCAATGCATTTTCATGAACTATTCATGAATAATTTATAAAAGTTATTTAGGAATGTTCATGAACTATTCATGAATGTTCTTACTTTTTGTAAACAAAAATGTAATAAATTATGCAAAATGAAAAACTGTAAAAGAAAATATTTTAATAGCATCTTGAAAGATTTCACAGAATTTTTGTTTTCCAATCATGGTAACAAAATCTTTGTTCAAGTAAATAACTCTGATAAGTGATATCGATAATAAATAAATTATGTAGTTCATTCCTAGTAAAATTATGAAAAATTTAATTCAAACGCGACTCTTTGCAGAATCCTTAACCTTACTTGGTCAAGAGGAGTGTGGGTTCCTTATTCAGCGTATTTCAAAGTGTAACGTTATGCCTAAAATGGAATGATTTTTAATCCAAATCTCACTATCTGGCAGAAAAGTGTGTTCAGCAATTAGGGCATCAGCTAAAAGGGCTTTCAAGGATTTTGAGAAGAGGTGGTCAAATAAAAAAAATCTTATTGGCTTTCCCTGTGGAATTTTCAGAATTTCATCACTTGGATACTTTGATCGATTACGTTTCATATTTTCATTCCTTTCTTTTGTTTTTCTTCAAGATCCTGGATTTTTTTTTTGGCAGCCAGAGTTTTTTTAATCTTCTGATCTCAGCTCATCAACATTATCTGTGAACTGCTTCTCTTTTCCCTACAAGAACAAAGATTTTCTGAAAATGCTCATAAATGTGAAAACTTAAGACTTAATTTTTTTTTTTTTGCATATTTGTTTCATTTAATTCTGCATCATAGGCACTGCCATATTTTAAAGCATTCCGAGCGGTAGTTTAGCCAGTTTCCCTTGCCCGCCATATTCAAGATGTTAGAGGTGAACAGGATAAATTTTCCAATCTTTAATTATTAAATGTTACGTAATTTGGTTGGATCCTAACTCATAACAAAGTTTGACAAAATTATCATTAAAAAAGACATAACTGAACTCTTACAAATAGACAGTAACATCTTGACAAATATCTCACAGATTCAGCGATTGCCTCCATTTTTTTGTAACTCACCATTAATATCTGCAGTTATGAAGTAAATTGATCCTCTGGATATTCCTTCTTCGTATTCTGTTATTTTCTTCAAAGGTTGACAAAGAATGACTAGATATACGCTAATAATCCTCCAACTCTACCAATTCACTTTCCAACGTCTCGCGCGTTTCAAAGTTTGCGCCTTTTAAAAAGTGTCATGCAGAGCTAATTAAGAAATAGTTTCGAATTGCCAAGATTGTTGTTAAATAAAAAATAACGAACACTATCTGAATGATTTTTCACTGAAATTAGTTTTTTTTTAAATTAATATAAGTTATATCATTTATTGAATTGGATTTTTTACATTATACCTGTAGAGCCACAGTTTCGTATTTTCAAGTATGGCCGCCTCCATATCAAGAGGACAACAAATAAGTCTTGGGAACCACTCGCCCTCAAACAGAATACCCTGAGCTATGAAAGTGTATAGGAGAATAGACTACAAAATACGAATGTTGATCATGTCATAGATACTTCACAACCATGCAGCCTGTGCTGTATCATTTACACACGATGTACAGAAAAATGAGCGACTTGATAACTGCATCAAAATATATAGCGTTTGACCCAAGAATAGTACGGACAAGAGATATGATTTTTTAGCTGTCAATAAATCTATGATACGTTTTTACGAAGATTATGAAATTTTTCCTAGACTGTAAGTCTGTTTCATTTTCTTACAACTTGTTAAAAGTTTGACAAATAGAGAAAATTCGGTCGAACAAAGTTGTGTCGTGAAAAATGAGATAATTTAAAGCACAATATTAATATAGCTGGCCATTTTAAATGATGAAGAAACATTAGTAATTCAATATGAGAAAAAAAATGCTGTCAATATTGATGCAGTGTTCTTTAAATTACGATCATAATTTAATTACAATCTCCCTTCTAGACAGTACATAACAGAGTTTTATTATCCTGATTGCATCTGCATGCAAAAGTTGTGTTATGGGAGTAATGAGTGTTTTCTGGCGATCGTTTGTGACAATTATTTTTACATTTTTTGTCTTCATGAAAATTCATGAACATTCATTACCTTGGACTATTAAGTTTTTTTCTTTAAACTGAAAATTAACAATATTCATATTTGTTCATCATTTGTTCATGAACTATTGATTATGAATGTTTTCATGAATTTTATTCATGAACAACTTTTATGAACCTGTTAAAAATCCTTTAAGAACCATTCATGAACAATTATGAACAACTCATAAATGTTCTTAAAATCATTAATATCATTTCGCAGGGGTGAGATCAAGTGTGGGCTCGTCTAATCCTGAAAGTTATTCAATTAAATTTTCTGTTCAGTTGAGCTAAAAGTGGCATTTTTGAGCAACAAATTTCTTGAATTCTCATAATGAAGGCATCAATTTCGGCTTATCCCCAGTTTCTTTTGTGATACCTACATGTTTTAGCATTGGCATTTTTAATATTTATAATACCTCTACAAGCTGTGTAACAAATCTATGTATTAAATATTTTGATTATTCTACATCCTTGTGTCCAAACCATAGGTTTGATATCGACTATACAGTCCCTGAAACGTTCTACTTTCCCATTTTTCCGTTTGCTCATCGTTCGTTCACCGTTCGTTCAGCGTGCGTTCACAGTTCGCTCTTCGTTCACAGTATTGCGTTTACCGTTCACCGTGTGCTCGCGTTCACCGTTCACAAAACGTTCACCGTTTGCTCTTCGTTCCGTTTACTTTGTGTTCACCTTGCGTTCACTGTTCACTTATCGTTCAATCTGCATTGTAATTGGAACTCTGAAGTGAAAGGAAATCTTTTTGATAATAAATATTTACATGTTTTTTTAATTAAATAACTTAGATATCGTGTTTGCAGAATAATTATTTCATTGCCAAAATTATCTATGGTATTTATATTTTTATTATTGTAACTAAGCTGTTACTTATTTCATGAAATTTCCCTGGAAAATAATACATTAAGTGCCTACATGTATGTAGAACGATGCTAAAATATTAACTTTAAAAAAGGGCAATTAACAAATGCTTCACTCACAGTATCAATTTATTGTAATTTTAAAGAGGACAAATTATTAATGTAAACTAATTAATCCAAGTCTTTTACAGGACAAGAATACATTAAAAAAAATTATTTCTCCAGTAACACGTATTTTAACTACATGTAGGTTTGAGAATTATGAACAGTACTGCAAATATTCAGTTAATTAAATATCTTTAGAGCTAATTACAAATACACATGTTTTACGGCAAATAAAATCATGTTTTAAAAATACCGATTTAAAACATAGGTAGACATATATATACAGAACAAAAATGTTCTATTATTTATTTATTTATTTATTTATTTATTTATCTATTGTTTATTCATATTTAAGCATCTGGAATTAGATAATAGAATAATCTCAATGCAAGGAAAAGATCGGAGGCGTTCCGAATAAATCGTTCATCTTGCGTTCACCATTCGTTCACCGTTCACTTTGCGCTCCGTTTGCGTTCTGCGTTCACTCACCGTTCACCGTTCACACATCGTTCACCAAGTTGCGTTCAGCGTTCGCACATCGTTCACCCACCGTTCACTCTGCGTTCGTTCACCGTTCGTTCACCGTTCACGTGGGAAAGTAGAACGTTTCAGGGACTGTAGGTTATGTTAAAGTTAAGCATTTTGCAACTTTTTAAGATTTACCAGATACAGCGGTTCTTATAATGTTGTCATACTGTCCTCTACAAAAATTTGAATTTTTCAATTTAAATTTGTATATGACAATTAATTGGCACATCTTTAATGATTACACCAACCCGATCGACACTCGGGCCGTGCTACAA